GAGCCAAATTAAGACCAATTTATTGACTGTATTAGGTCTAGTTTCAATTTGGCCTGATCATTTGCATGAACACAATAAGAATAGCAATTAATCATATAGGCCTTTAAAAAAAAAAAAAAAAGTCTGCTTTGCTGGTATTTCATAATTGAGCTTTAATTCATCTCTCAGGGCAAAGCAGCTGAGCCACCTAGCTGCCATCAGGTTTGCCTGCAATACCTGAAGTCCCCAAAGATGTCTTGAGTTTCCTTCCTTGCCATCTCTCAGGAAAGCAACATTCATTCCTTACCTGGAAAGACTGCAGTGAACCACGTTACCAAGCAAGGTACCAGGCTATTTCTAGAAGGCCCTAACATTGGCTTCAAATTTAGTTTTCATTACTTAAAGCATTCTGGTGACACCCAGACTCTGGGCATGTCTATCTCAGACATGACATCCCAGTAAAAGTCTTGGTTAATAGAAACACAATTGGAAATTGGTCTTGTTAAATTCATTCAAGGAAACGTATTGTTATGACTCATTCATTATCACCATATTATCCCCACAAAATCTACCATGGGCTTGCATACCGTCAATGATTGGTATCTGACCAGTTTTGGAAACAGTCTGTTCCATCTTTGGACAACTTAAGAGTACTCAAGTACCCTTATTTATACAGATATTTATATAGAATTACACAAAATAAGGCTCTTTCTCTTATGGTAGACTGTCCTCATGTTTGCAAGAGCCCTTCTACAACTATTCTCTTTTCTATAGTACGTCTTTGTTATTTTAACTGCTTTTCACTGATAACATGACCCTCCCATTAGCTTGCTTAATTTGATTTTGAATGTTTTATCAAAGCCCTCTTTAAATGGCACTCATCAAAACAAAGGTCAAACTTCTACTGGGGTAGGGAGTGTTCAGGGGTGTTAAAATTAGAGGAGGTTGAGTACTTTTCCTTCTCTCTTTCTTCTGAATCTGAACTGGTATAAATGAGGCATTTTCCCCTTCAACTCAGACCCTAATTGGGCTTCTTTTCAGAAGACATTGGCTCCTTCCCTGCAGGCTGGCTGTTTGTTTGATGGTTTCATGCTGCCATCTGGTGGTTAAATTAGGTAATTTCTGCTTTTTTGTGTTTTTTTTTTCTTTTTTTTTTTTTTTTGTTGAGAGGAAGCATAGTTTAACAAACTTATAAACCTGTAAATAAAATAAAAGAGAACTTGAATTCTTCCTTCCATATAGTTCCTGCTATATGTCATGCGTTTGGGTTAAGAAAAGCCTGGAGGTGGTAAATATCAGGAGAGCAGGGATGATCCAAGCTATGATGCAGGGTCCTAGGCAAATATTTTTTTGAGTTCCTTTTTATTTAAGTAATCTGATTAAAATATATTATAAAATTCATGGGCTCATGTAAGGTATAGTAATTTAGCAATAAAGGGCACAGAAGATGTGCTTATATATTTGTTTATTCAGTAGTTCATGTGAAAATTCTTCATAATGTTCTTTTTACAAAAACCATTTTTTGTTGTTGTCAAATGAATCCTACATAATATAAAATGTAGCAACACTGTTGTTATTTCCAATGCAACTACTCTTTGGAACCTGTTTGTACCTAAACACTAGAGCTTTCTTGACTCTGTAGTTCTTTTAGCCTAGGTATCTGCAGTAGATCTTGATAGCCTAGAGCAGTGTTTCCCAAACTTCTGACATATGTGTACTCCTTCTATAATTTTCATAACGCTGAGTACCCCTTGTACTCATGAAAGCGTAGAATTAGGCACAGCTCAGCAAGGTGCAGTGCATATCCCCACCAAACTCTGGTGCAACTCGTACCTCCACCAAACTCTTCCCGTACCCCTGGGGGTATGCGTACCACACTTTGGGAAACACTAGCCTAGAGCATGTGTCCGATGTGAGCCAGAGTCACCCAAAATCATTACGATCAAACGATTTCGGCAGCTTAATCTCACAGAATCTCGTGAAAAGAAATTAATATGACAACCAATGGAAGTAGTCTGCCAGGACAGACCACTCTCCCGGAACCAGGGCCTGGACCCTGAACCCCAGGGAAACTAGTTTATTTCCCGTCTTTTCACCTTTTAGGATGTTTTTATGAAAAAAAAAAAATTTTAGTTTAAAGTCAATTTTTTTTCTTGGTGGTTGATGCCTTTTGAGTGGTACGAGAAATTTCCATAAGCCAAGGTCTAAAAATATGGGTTATTTTCACAACTGTAGAAAATTGTTTTCGACAGAGCTGTATTTGACAGACATAGTTACTTTAACAGTTGATAGCTTGTGTTAAAGACACAATAAGCTGAAATAGGTTAAATTCTATAATGGAGTCAGATTCCTAGTGATACCATTATTTCATGGCCTATAGAGAAGGAGTTAAGATTTGTCAGGTGGCCTGATAGTATTGCTGCTGGTGGTAGTTGGTTTGCTTTTTAGGTCCTCTTGGTTAGTCTAGGCCGAGATTCCAGGTGTTAAGGGAATACTATTTGTTTGTAATCCTTTTCTTTCCTGATGACTGAGTGATATCAAAGTTGTTGTAGCAAAAAAAAAAAAAAAAAAAAAAAGTTGTTGTAGCTACTACCTTTTATAGGTATCATTCAAATATACCATGATTATTACAGTAATTTTAAACTCTATACAAGATCTGACACACAAGGTAGTCTCATCAACAGAGTTATTTCACTAAAGTGCAACCAAAGTGATCTGAGTCCAAGGAACTCTACCCTGGGATCTTAGTGCTGTACTAAATTTTTAAACCAAATAGAAGTCAACATCGCTCAATCTCAATTTACTAATTTATATAATGAACTAAGCCCCTTCTCCCGATTCATTTCACTAGGACTTTGAAAACTTAAATTAGGGTAAAATCTTATAGCAGTCCTTATTTGTAGGCTTTTTCTCATATAGTTCATTTTGGGGTGTTTAGGAAGGCTCCTGTGGAAAATTATCTTTCCTACTATTAAATTATCTTTGTGTTAAGCATTGTCTTCTCCAGGGTACCACTTTTGTAACAAAATATTCCTCATTTGGAATAGTCAGATTATTTTTTTTTGTGTGAACTAAGAGCACATAGAAGATGGAATGTACCTTTTAAGGATGAAAATTTGCATATTTTATCTGGAGACTGGAAGGTATGCTTTTCTGATAGTATTACTTTTCAGTTGACAATAGTAGGGCTTTCTAGGAGTTATGAGATACAAGTTACAAATAGTTCTCCATGATTATTTAGGGGCCAATAATTTCTTTTTTTCCTTCTTCTCTGTTGCTCACCAACTGATTTATAAGATAATTGAAGAGAAAGTCCCTTGGAGGTTCTAACCTTGGAGACCCTTCCTGCCTTCTTTGGTTCAAAAGTTTGATCCGGGAGTTATATACATTTGGATACTTTATTAACATATCAAAACTCTTCCTGCCCTTCCTCCTTTTCAAAACCAAACTAAACTAAAATGTTTTCTTTTGTTATGGATAATTTTTTATGGAGAATTTCTTTACGGAGAATTTTAGCATCAGAAATCTAATTTACATAAGGTCCCCTATTTATAGATGATAACCCATGGCGACCCATTGAAGTTATGGTTCCTGGACTAGAAATGGAGTCTAGTATTCTTTCATATATGTTGATATTTTCTTGAAATCTCCTTTTCCTAATTTTTAAGCCAGCTAAACCACAAATATGTCCAGTTTTCAATGTTTTAAGCCCCACCTCTTCCACTCCCTCTGCACCCAGTCTCCACCCCCTGGCTTTTTAAAGCCCTGCAATTTGCAGCTGCCGCCATATTTCTTCTTCTCCTGAGCTGTAATGGAGTCTTGCTAATAGAAGGGGTCTTCAGCCATGTGGTTCTTTCTGGAACATTTTCCAGCTCTCAACCACTCTTTATGGCGCATCTCTTTTAAAAAATTCACCAAAATTCTATAAAATATTTGGAAAATTCTATACTTTCTTCCAGCATTTTATTGACACCTCCCTATTTTTTAGGTATTTTGAATATTTTTATGACATTTTTCATTCAAAAGAAATTTTTGTTTGCAACAATTTTTTCTCGAGTCCTTGGTTTTGTGATTTAGTTCTTTATTTATTCCACTTTTCTATATTTTCCCCATCAGGACTGCGGATACCTGGTTTTATTTATTTACTTTAATAAATGTGCCCATCGGGGCCGCGGATACCTGCTTTTAATTTTTTTTCCTCCTTCGCCCATCGGGGCCTCGGATACCGGCTATGTCCTCCTTTTCCCCAAACCATTGGCCCACCGGGGCCTAGGATACCTGCTTTTTTAAAAAAATTATTTTTTATGATTGCCCATCGGGGCTTCGGATACCTGCTATAATTTTTTTTCCCTGCCCATCGGGGCCGCGGATACCTGCTTAGATTTTTTTTTTTTAGTCGCTCGAAATGTTGTTTTCTGTGGTTTGTTATGCTATCTGCAATGTCTACCAATTCTTGCTGCTAATCTTTGGTGGTGTGTGAGTCTATATCTCTGGCTGGGAGATGACTGCAGTTAGGCTAAGGGGTTGGTTAGGTTAGGGAGGAAAATAATGGCGACTCTAAGTTCGCTGCGGAGCTCTGCAGATGGTAATTGGTTGCGACTGTTCTAAATTAGAGAGGCTAGAGGCCTGAGGTGCTTATTGTGAATGGCCTGATTTGCATGCATTGTGTTCACAGGAGGTAGAAGAATAGGATAGTCTGCGCGCCCGCATTACCCGGGGCTAGTAGGAAATGAGTTCGAGACGACTTACAGGGAGGGGCCAAAATGGCGCCGTGGCATTGCTCAGCATGGCGGGCGGTCTGCTTTGTTAGTGTCGAAAATGGCGGGTCCAGTTTTGTGGAAGGCCACATCACGGTAGTGTCTTTTGTTCGGATGCACGGCGTGGCGGTGGAAATATTCTGTTACATGGCGTAAGATGGCGGCGCCAGGACCCTGTGCGGTGTCAAAAATGGCGGAATATGGCGGTTGCTGTGAGCGTTGCAGGATGAGTCATGGCGGCCTTTGTCTTTGCAGCAGGCATTTTCAGACAGGTTTTGCCGCAGGGACATATAAGGAAGGTCTTGGCTCGTGGTTAAGGACGTCCTGGCGTTTGCGCGGGCTTTGCTCGCTGTGTGCCTGCCGCCTTGTTAAACATGGCGCGCGCTTCCGGTTTGCTGCAAAAAAGTGAAAGGCGGGATGATCGTCGTCGCCGATCCACCCAATCAGACTCGGTGGCACAAGTGGGCACAGCCAATTAATGGAGAATGGAATTAGACCACTAGCGTGGCTCCTGGCTGCCCACTTACATAACATCTGCTCCCGGCTGTGGTGCTCAAGGTCGTTCCAAGGACGTCTGGCCGGTCCGGCTCCGTCCCCTCCAGCGCTGCCCCTGGGCTCTGCCGCCATGTGCGCCAGGCCAGGGCTCCATGCCTACCACGTGTAAAATATGGCGCTGAGTCCAACATGGCGGCGAGTCGTGGCAAGGACCAAAATGGATCTTTGGCCAACAGGTGGCAGAAGAGGAATCCCTCCGTTCTTCAAGAGGAACACCTACCCTGTGGCTAATGCTGGGGTTGGATTTTGAATTCTACTTACTTCTTGGATGTCAGCCATAAATAGTTTGCTAGGGTGATATTTAAGCCTCGAGTGACTATTATGGCATTGTTTGTAGGCTTCAATTAGAATTAATAAGCTCATTTTGGCGGCCCTTAAAGTTTATTTCTTTTTTTTATAAAAATGACATACTTAATTTTTTGTATATAAGATATCCAAATAATTTATAAATTTTATAAATATATAAAAGTCAAATAATTTGGCGTTATAACATTTTCCACTAATCTCTTTTACTTTGAGATTGACTTAATAAACTACCTCACTTTGGATTTTTCAAGTCTTCTAGCACATAAAAAGTTAATTAAAAAGTTAACTTTATGACAGAATATAAAAACTATTTAAAGGTCCATTCCACTTCAGGCCTTGCTTCGTTCCCATCTTTAATGCTGCACTAAAGTTGACTGTCTAACGTATCAGACAGATAACTTGAATTGCTGTGGACTTGTTTCCTCTATTCAAACTTACCTTGAGGTATTAAATGTCCATATAACCAATATTGTGGTATTTTGCCTCTACAGTCCCCAGTTCCTCCTCACCCCTGCTCTCACAACCCCTACATTTAGCCCCAGCCCTTATCTCCTAACCCCAGCCCTGCCTAAGCCCGGGCCCCGGCCCCGGCCCCGGCCCCGGCCCCGGCCCCGGCCTCGGCCCCGGCCCCGGCCCCGGCCCCAGCCCCAGCCTCGGCCCAGCCCTAGCCCCAGCCCCAGCCCCAGCCCCAGCCCTAGCCCCAGCCCCAGCCCCAGCCCTAGCCCCAGCCCGTCCTACCCCAGTTATTTCCTTCAGCCCTGCTCCCTAAATCACATATTGTGCTGACCACTTAAAGTCTTTGCACTGAGTGAAATTCTAATTATCCATAATCCCGCCCATCATATTATATCCCAGTCAAAAACACATTTGCATTAATCGTGAATGCAGAAAAATCCAAGTCTTTTAGTCCTGTGCAAAAAAAAAAAAAAAGAAAGAAAAGAAAAGGAATCTTACCCCATCACACTGTCTAGGAGTGACTGTTGTTTAAGAATTCAGCTCTGAGACAATTTTCACATAAGTATCTGGAGTATTTTTCATTTAAAAGGTCCAAGGCATCCCATTTGGTAGGTATAACGTGGTCCTAATACTCAAGGATTCTTCTTTTTAGTTGATATCATCCATACTTGTATTTGTAATCATGCGCAAAATTACAATCTCCAATAACTCCCTTTTTTAGCTCGTATTTCTAACTGCATTACCGCAGAGGATTCTTCCGACAGTTAATGTGCTTATATGCCACTTCGGTTTTTATCTCACTTTGGAACCCAGGGATCCTCAGTTTGCATTAAAACAGATCCTTTGGGGCAGTGAATGTGCTTAACTGCTCTACTATCTTTATGCTACTATAGCTTTCACCCACCCTTATTTTGCAGTACAATACAAGAGGTTACAAGGGGGCAGTTGATGGTACTTAAATGATGGCTCTACTGTCCTTACTTTACTCTAGAACCCATCTAATCTCACTTTGCATTAAAGCAGCCCTGGGGCGGTAAATGTGCTTAAATTCTACTAGTGTCATCTTTATGTCACTGTAGAACCAATCTGTCCTCATTTTGCGTTAAAACAGAGGGTCAGAGGGCAGTAAATGTACTTAAATGCAACTACAGTGCTTATGCCACTCTAAAACCCATATATCTTCACTTTGCATTAAAACAGGGTCCTTGGGGCAGTTAATGTACTTAAATGCCACTGCTGTCCTTGTGTTAAAGTGGACCTCATATATCCTCACTTTGCATTTAAACAATCTTAGACACAGTTGATGTGTATTTAAATGCCTCTGTTGTGCTTATGTCACTATAGGACTCATGAACTTTGATTTTGACTTAAAACCCAGTGCTTGGGGCAGTTAATGTGCTTAAATGCCCCTATTGCCAATATGTTAATGTGGAACCTACCCATCCTCATTTTGCATTAAAATAAGAGGTCCTTGGGGCAGTTAATGTGCATAAATGGCAATACTGTTCTTATGTCACTCTGGAACCCATACTTACTTTGATTATGATTTAAAAAGGAGTGCTTGGGGCAGTTAATGTGCTTGAATGCCCCTATTGCCATTATGTTAATGTGGAACCCACCCATCCTCATTTTGCATAAAAATAGGGGGACCTTGGGGCAGTTAATGTGCATAAATGCCATTTCTGTCCTTAAGTTAAGGTGGAACTGAACACGTACTCACTTCGCATTAAAACAGTCCTAGAGGGAGTTAATGTTCTCAAATGCTACTCCTGTGCTTAGGTTAGTGAGGAACCCAACTATCCTCACTTTGCATTAAAACAGAGGATCCTTGGTGCAGTTGAGGTACTTAAATGCAACTACCTTGCTTATGTCACTCTAGAACTCCTACTCCTCACTTTGCATTAAACAGGGTCCTTGGGGCAGTTAATGTGCTTATATGCCACTGCTCCCTATGTTAAGGTGGCATTCACATATCCTCACTTTGCATTTAAACAGTCCTAGAGGCAGTTGATGTGCTTAAATGCCTCTATTGTGCTTATGTCACTATAGGACCCATGCATCCTCACTTTGCATCAAAACCGGGAGTCCTTGGGGACAGTTAATGTGCTTAAATGCCAATACTGTTCTTATGTCACTCTGGAACCCATAATTACTTTGATTTTAATGTGCTTGAATGCCCCTATTGCCATTATGTTAATGTGGAACCCACCCATCCTCATTTTGCATAAAAATAGGGGGACTTTGGGGCAGTTAATGTGCATAAATTCCATTTCTGTCCTTATGTTAAAGTGGAACTCAACACATACTTATTTCCCGTTAAAACAGTCCTAGAGGGAGTTAATGTTCTCAAATGCTACTCCTGTGCTTAGATTAGTGAGGACCCCATCTATCCTCACTTTGCATTAAAACAGAGGATCCTTGGTGCAGTTGATGTACTTAAATGCAACTACCGAGCTTATATCACAATAGAGCCATTACACACACTGATTTTGATGGAAAACAGTCATTTGGGCACTTAATGTGCTTAAATGTCACTGCTGTTATTATCTTGCTTTGCAATCCATCCTTCCACAATTTGAATTAAAACTGGGTGCTCAGTGCAGTTGATGTGCTTAAACGTTAGCTATTGTGCTTATGTCACTCTAGAACCCATGCATCCTCACTTTGCATTAAAACAGGGTCCTTGGGGCAGTGAATGTGTTTATATGCCGCCACTGCTTTTTAGTGTGGAACCCACTCATCCTCACTTTGCATTAAAACAAGGGGTGCTTGGGCAGTTAATGTGCATAAATGCCACTACTGTCCTTGAACCCATACTCACTTTGATTTTTATTTAAAACAGAGTGCTTGGTAGTTAATGTGCTTAAATGCCAGTACTGTGCTTATATCACTATAGAATCTATCTATCCTCACTTTGCATTAAAGTAGAGGGTCTTCAAGCCACTGCTGTCTTTATGTTAAGGTGGAACCCACCTATCCTCACTTTGTATTAAAACAGTCCTTGGGGCAGTTAATGTGTTTAATGCCACACCTGTCCTTAGGTCAATATGGAACCCACTCATCCACACTTTGCATTAAAACAGGTGGCAGTTAATATGCTTAAAAATGCCACAAGTGTCCCTATGTCACTATAGAACCCAGACTCACTTTGATTTGATTTTTATTAAGAGAGTCCTTGGGGCACATAATGTGCTTCAATGCCACTACTCCCCTTAAGTTAAGGTGGAACCCACCCATCCTAATAGCATTGGGACAGTTAATGTGTTCAAGTTATGCCATTACTGCTTTTTAGTGTGGAACTCAGGCATCCGCCCTTTGCATTAAAATACTCCCTGGGGCAGGAAATGTGCTGAAATACCACTATTGTCCTTATCTTACTTTGCAACCCACCATCCTCACTTGGCCTTAAGAGGGTCCTTGGGGCAGTTGATGTGCTTAAATGTAACTGCTGTGCTTATGTCACTCTAGAACCCTTGTATCCTCACTTCGAGTTAAAACACGATCCTGGGGCAGTTAATATACTTAAATGCCACTGCTGTCCTTATGTTAAGGTAGAACTCACATGTCCTCATTTTGCATTTAAACAGTCCTAGAGGCAGGTGTTGTGCTTAAATGCCACTAGTGTTCCGTATGTCACTGTAGAACCCATATTCACTTTGTGATTTAAAAGAGTCCTTGGGGCAGTTAATGTGCATCAATGCCACTAAAGACCCCATATCATTCTAGAACCCATCTATCCTCACTTTGCCTTAAAACAGGGGGTCCTTGGAGCAATTAATGTGCTTACATGCCAGTACTGTTCTTAAGTCACTATAGAACCCATAATTACTTTGTTTTTGATTTAAAACAGAGTGCTCGGGGCAATTAATGTGTTTAAATCATCTATTGCCATTATGTTAATGTGAAACTCACCCATCCTTACTTTGCATTAAAACAATTTCTGGGGCAGGAAATGTGCTTAAAATGCCACTACTGCCCTTACCTTACTCTGCAACCCGCCCATCCTCACTTGGCCTTAAAAGAGGGTACTTGGTGCAGTTAATGCTTCAATGCAGCTACTTTGCTTATGTCACTCTAGGACCCAAATATACTCATTTTGCATTAAAACGGGGTCCTTGGGGCAGTTAATGTGCTTAAATGCCACTAGTGCCTCTTAGTGTGGAACCCACTCATTCTCACTTTGCACTAAAACAGTCCTGGGGCAATTAATGTCCTTATCTTATTTTGCAACCCACCCAACCTCATTTTAAATTAAAACAGGGGGTCCTTGGAGCAGTTAATGTGCATAAAGGCCACTAGTGTCACTATGG